ACAAGTAATGCGTGTTGTAGTCAAAGTTTGTTCTAACAAGCATGAGTAAATATTGCTAAGGTTGTTAGCATGAGTAAATATTGCTAGCATGAGTAAATATTGCTAAGGTTGTTAGCATGAGTAAATATTGCTAGGGTTGTTAGCATGTGCTATTTTATTATAAATAGGATGCTAGTTTCTCAATCTTAGAATAAGGAAAAATAGGAAGATAAAATCCTAATTTCAAGGGAGAGAGGTTATTTTGTTATTCTTGTATACTTGTAATCTTGTTCAAAGAGAAAGGAAAGAATAGCAGTTTAATAACCAATCCTTGTTGTTCCTTGTTGTTTTACCTTGTTTTCTTTGTTAACCCTGACCCTTGTGTGTTTCTTGATCATTAAGAAACCGTTTATACTTTGTTTAAAGGTATCCGATTCACAACAATACTTGCATTAACACTCATGCAATAACAAATTCTGAAACTTAAAAAACAAAGACTTGCATTATTATAATCAATTTAATTAAACATCAAATTTTTTTATACCATTCGATGAACATGGTCTTAATCATATAAATCATTTTATCTTAACATTATTTTCTCTATATTCTAAGTTAAAGGTTTGTCAATGGAGTATGAATTTACAATGTCACATTGCATAAAAAGATAAGAATACTTGGTAACTCAAACAAATAAGAAAGAAATTAAAATAAGAAAAGAAAATAATATGAATGTGTCACTACTGTGATTTAAAAGAATTTCTCACCATTTTCAATTGAGAAAGAATCATCGTTGCTTATTTCTTCTTGAAGAGAAATTTTTTGATTCATGTTATTTTCAACATTGAGATGGAGTAATGAGTTAACTCAAGCTCAAATTCAAATACTTCTATATTTAATGGTACGTCTTAATTCATGTTATCTTTAACATTGATATGTGGTAGATGATTTTGCTCAAACTCAAATTGAGGTATTTCCATCTTTGATAGAATCTATAGAATTCAATCTCTTTATGTAGTGAATGATTGAATATTATGAATTTTTTGTACTAATTGTTCAAAACTTAAAAATTGAAATTTTAGAAGTTTATTTGCTAAATATTGGTGGGAAGTTGCTGGATAAAAATGGTGGAAAAGTCAAATTTGCGAAACTTGTTTTTAAACTTTGAATTAGTTAATTAACCTAAAGCTAGAGTTGCATTGCTATGAATCAATGTTTGTGGTAATTACCATTATTATTCTTGTGAAGAGGAAAATACACTATTGGAATTAAACATTGTGATTTATTAATAATTACAAGAAATAAGAATAATAATGATAGATATTAATATTTCAAGGTTAGTTTTGGAATAAAATATATATTTTAGAATTATTAATAAGAAAAATTAGTGTCCTTCAACTGTGTGAAATTTTTAAAGTGTTTCTTATAAAAAGAATCAGAGGGAGTATTAATTAAACAACTAAAAAAATAAAATAAAATGCAATGACTGAGCATCGAAGCAAGCTCCCTTATAGCTCTATTCCCCCGTTTTTTTTTAAAAATCGAGGTAAATGGTTGTTTATTTTATTTTTTTAAAATAAAACATGGCACTTCCGGTACCTATACCCTCGTTTTTTTATTGTTTGAGGTGTTAGCTTTGTCATAAAAAAATATTATTTGTTGTAGTGAAGACCTTATTTAAACAAAAGTGAATTAGGTTTTAAATCCGATAGAAAACACAATAGCGCCATATTAGGAGAATTCAATTAAAATATACATAACGTTGGTTTTTCTGTATAACTGAGGGGTTTGAACATATCAAATAAAAAATTAAAATAATATTTTGAAAATAGTATTTTGAAATTGATTAATGTAAAATATATTACTTCTCAGTTGGACAATTTAGCCAAGATAAATACTAATAAAAAATAACAATGATAAAAATGAAACTTGATAAGATGCCAAATGAGAAATAATAACTAAACAACTAAAAACAAAATATAAAATGCAATGACGGGGTGTCGAAGCAAGCTCCCTTATAGCTTTATTCTTCCGTTTTTCTGAAAAACTGAGATAAATGGTTGTTTATTTTTTTTAGAATGAAGTCTGGCGCTCCCAGTACTTATACCCTCGTTTTTTTATAGTTCGAGGTGTTAACTTCGTCATAAAAAACGTTATTTCTTGTAGTGAAAGCCTTACTTAAACAAAAGTGAATGAGATTTTAAATCCGATAGAGCACATAATAAAAAGATAAATAGGAAGTAAATAAATTGACCCATCTATAAATGCTCGTATTGTATTAGATTGGGCCACTTAGAGCCATTTTATTTTGATAAATTAAAAAGGTCTAAAGGTAGTAACGATATCTCTTAAAGAACCACTAACACACTTGGACCCAAGAAAATGTGGATGTCAGATGTGAAATCCTAATATGTTTTGTATGGATGCTATGCAACCTTTATGAAGAAGGCAATAAAGGATTCTTAGCAAGATTGAACATAATTATAAGAGGGAATTCATGAAGGCCATCACTCCTAACACGATCTTCTAGAATGACAACATCAGATACTTGTGACTTTACAAGGCATTTTCAGTAGTAAACAAGAAATAAACATTGTTATCTCTTGGAAATTGACTAACACTCATGAGGTTTTTAGTTATGGAGGGGACACAAAAAAGTTTACTAAGTGTGAGGTGTGTGTGTTGGGGATGAAAATTACTAGAACCAACAAAGTGTATATACAAATCTTAACCATTTTCTATATATATTTGGTCATGTCCTTCAAAGGGAGTGAGTTGTTGAAGATTATTTGCATCACTTGTAACATGGTAAGAAAACTGAGTCAGAAAACTAAGATGTAGAGGTGGATGGCAGAGTGTTTGCAACAAAGGTACTTGGAAGACTTAGAAAAGGAGAATCATGCTTTGGTGGTGGAGATTGCCTAGTACAAACATTGTTACCACAACAAGTAGGATAACCCTTCTAGAAAATTTTGACTGTACGAATTTCTACTGAAGGTATATAATTGAAACTGATAATTGAATATATGCCAACAACTTAATGCATAATGATCAGACCTAGAGCAAACTTGGCAGCGTATGTTGGAGAAACAACCTCCTCTACCTCTGTCATTTCTGCCTCCATAACTATGTTTAACACCTCTGAAAGATTGGTAATCATACTTAAGATTTTGTGGAGTGACCTGAGAAGGAGATGACTAAAAACTAGTAGTTTAAGAGTCAATTGAAAATGATGTTGGAGGCACAATGTGAGTTAGATTTAGAGAGACTATATCCAGAACAAGATTTTTATTGAAATTTGCAAGCCTAAGTTCACGAGTAACTAACATAATTCCAACTTCATCTAGAGCTATGGTGCCAAATTTGCTCTCAATAACACAGACTATTGAAGCGTAATCTGCAGACAAGCCTTCAAATATCACATATATGTGATGAGATCTTAGTAAAAGATCACCAATGGAGGCTAAGACATCAACAATAATCCTGATTTTTAGTAAATAATTATGAATTTACAAAATATCAAGCACAATTGTCCGAAGTTCCACACGCGATTGACGAGCTCGTGCACATACTTGCTTTTAAAAATAGCCAAACAACCGATCACATAGCTGATGTGCGTGTGAACATCCTAGTACATGAGAAAGAATCTCACTAGAAAGTGTAGATTGAAGCCAAGATAACACCATTTGTTCTTTTTGGAGCCACACTGATCACTTAAGATTCACAAATCCAGATTTACAAGCCGCATCATCAAGAAATTAGAGTGGAATTCGTGTGCAAACCAAAAACTCGATGAAGTTGTGCGAGCTGATGTAAGGTTCGACTTGTTGATGCCAAATATTAAATTCTTCTCATTTAATTTATGCGCAATCTTTAGTAAGAAATTGAGCGATGCAAATCATTATTCACAGACAACTCTATCTGCGTTCGAGTTGTAGAGACTTGTGGTGGAGTTATCATGGCTATAAAGATGGCATTAACAATCTGATACCATACTAAAATTGGTAGTTGCACAGTTCATTCAATTATAACTAACAGTTCATGATTGAATCTATTTATTAAAAAAAGAGAGCAACTGATGCATTTACCGTATTAACCAATTGAGATGCTATAACAAGTGAGATACATTGCAAGCTACACCTATATGTTTTGAAAAAAATAATTGAAAAAATGCAAAATCATTTTAGTTCTTTGTTAATTTTTTATTTAATTTATTTTTAAAATTGAAACTTAGTTAAATATAAATTATATAGATATTATAAATTAAAACAAATTAAATTAGAGTATAATCATATTTTCATTTTGATATGATTTTTATACTATTTTATTTTATTTAAATAAAAATAAAATAAAATAAAATAATATTAATACATATAAATAATTAATAACATTTCAAAATTTCTTTTAAATATTCATTTTTATATAAAAGATCTCATTTTAATATTTATTTTTGAGTTAAATATATTTTTGATTCCTATAAAATATTAAATTTTGTTTTTGATTCCTATAAAAAAATAGTGTGTTTGGGTTATTACAAAATATTTATACACGTAGTTTTAGTCTCTACGGTTAAATCATGTATATTTTTGAATGATTATTTTGCAAATATGTTTAGAACGCTATAAAAAATTCTTCGAAAAAAAAAATTCAAAATTTAATTTATAAGACAAAATTTTCATTATTTTTATCATTATCTTTTAAAATTTAAAAATTTTATATTTAATTCTTCTCCATTTAAAAAATTATATAATTTAATAAAAAACATTTTATAGTATGAAAAAAATTAATTAAAAATTTAAAAGTTTAAAAATAATTAAATAATTTTCAAAATTTTAAAAAATAGTAAAGATTAAATAATTTTTTTTGTAAGAATCAAAATATATATTTTTATACAAATTAAAATTGAAAAATAGATATTTATAAAGAAAAAAACATATTTAACCATTTATATTTTATACATAATATGCCGGACCAGCCCTCCACATAACAAACACTTTTGTACTTTTAACCTATTCCTATTTGCCATGGCAGAAGCAGCAACTTCTTCGACGAGAAAGGCCAAAAGGAATAACCGAAACCTAAAATCTCAGGATCCTGAGCTCGACCGCCTCGAATCACTTCCATGGAACTCTTCTCTCCCTCAACACGATGAACAAGACGACAACACTTTTTCACTCTTCACTGGCTCCAATGAACTCGAAGGAGGTTTCTTACATTCTTATCCAATACATTTCATTTTATGATAGACACTATATCCCTTATAATTAGCCTCAAATCTTCTTCAAAAGTTATACGATATGCATTACACGTTGGTTAGTTCTGTTGATTTTATTCTGCCCACCAAGTGTTTGATGAATTGACTGAGTCTATTTTGCTTGCAGGTTTTCTTTCACTTGAGGAGATTGATGAAGCTGAGTATGGTTTAAATATTCCTGATCCTGAAAATCATGACAGGAAACACAATTCTAAACAGAACAAGAAGTTGAATAAGCAGAAGCAGGACAGTGCTTGTAGTGATGGAGAAATTTTGAATGACGAGAGCATCAAGTCTAAAGCGAAGAAAAAGAAAAAGAAAAAGAAGAAAAGCAAGGATGCAAAAGAAAACCAGAAAGTTCAGCCTTTAAATACTGGTATTTTTTGTTTAAAAACTGTACTTAAATGTAGGCTCCTCAAGTGTGGAATTTAAAATGTTGGTTTGATTTGTTATTTTAGACAATTTTAGAATTGCATGTATGTTTGATGGGTTAGTATACGCACATGCATATCAACATGTGATAATGATTTTATGTTGTTCAAAAGTGTAGTGAACTACTGCTAATCCACAATTTAAAATATCTATGCAACCTAGTGCAATAGAGTAAATGGGCAGACAAACACGATAGTATTTATCTTATTAATAGTTATTTATAAAAGCAATAATGCTCTTTGTGTATTCATTTTTTTTCTTCCAATTATACTTTTAGAATATCTAACTGCTTTGGAATACATGGCTGTTAGTCAGAACAGAAGCGAATCTATTTTTGTGATTAGAAAAAAACCGTAGAGTCAGGAAAGAAAGAAAGTCTTAAGAACTAATAAGGAAAGAAATGTGTGTTGACATGTTCCACTGACGGCTGTATGCACTTCTATGTGTAGATGCTGATGTGAAGGATGGTGTTGAGGAAGAGACCATTGATGAAACTGAATATTATGCATGGAACGAGTTGAGGCTTCATCCTCTTTTAATGAAAGCAATACACAAGTTGGGATTCAAGGAACCAACACCGATACAAAAGGCTTGTATTCCGGCTGCTGCTCATCAAGGGAAGGTTGTTTAATTTGATGTTCTTCAGGTAACTTAACAGTTTGAAATATTTCGTAAGATTAACTTTTGATGGGAATTTTTGTGTCCTCATTTGACAGGATGTTATTGGGGCTGCAGAGACAGGATCTGGTAAAACACTTGCATTTGGTTTGCCCATTTTGCAACGTCTTTTGGAGGAGCGTGAGAAGGCATCAAATGTGATAGGTGAAAAGGGCGAAGAAGCTGAAAAATATGCTTCCACGGGCCTTTTAAGGAGTCTTATTATTGCTCCAACTAGAGAACTTGCACTTCAGGTAATTGTCAAAGCTTTCTGTTTATTTGCATAGATAACTGTCAGTTGCTTGATTGTTACTCTTTATAATGATGTTGCGTTCTTGGTTTTGTATTGTTTGCTACCACAAAGGTGGGAAGTATGGAAGTTTTTTTGTTTTGGCATTTAGTTACAGTATTTACAAGTCTCATGTTTAAATTTAGGTGTCTTTCCTTTATAGGGTGTGCCACTTTTGAGATTCTCTATTATAGTTACACTTAATTAGTTTATCTTTCGGTGTAAACTCTTCTGCTTCTGTATTCTAAGCAGGCTCGCAGTTCTACAACCTGTGAAGCATGGGTACTCCATTTTAACTAAAGTACCGGTACCGGGTACTAGTACGCGTACGGTACACGTACAGTACGTACCGAAGCCGTACCGATTTTTTATTTTATTTTTAAAGTTGGTACACCAACCGGTACACATTTGGTACCACGTACCCAATTTTTTAAAACTTTTTTCATATGAAATAATTTGGGTTTTTTTTTTACTGAGTAAAAATTAGGTTAATTATTCTATTTATTCACTCATTGAAAAGGAATAGGCTAAATCTAAAGAGGGTTGATGATTTAGATTTTGTTCGTACAAATCTCTGTCTTCTCTCGAGAAAGAGTAAGGTTTATAATGAAGGAGCAACAAAAATGTGAGATATTGATAGAAATGAATGAAATCTATTTGATGGAGCTGATATTCTTAAAGTTGTTAGTCATTCTCTCAATGAACCTGAACTAGAAGCCACTCTTTTTAATGATATTGGAGAGGAAAATATAGATATTCAACCATGACTTGATGATTTATTAACATACGAGTTATTTATGTCATTGCGAAGATATTAACTATTTTTAAGTAAATTATTTTTTAATATTAATGTTTTGATATTATTTAAACAATATAATTCCTTTGTTATTTTTATAATTGTATTTAAAAAAAATTATACTAACGTACGCGTACCATAGTTTTTCTAAAAATGTCGTACTTACGGGTACTGGGTACTGGGTACGTACCCGTACCTATGCAACACAGTCTACAACTAACTAAGGTAGGGAATGGGAACTTTATGTTTGTATTTAGTTTTTTAGTCGTAATAACTTACAAGTCTTGTATTCTTCTGTTTTATTTGCATTAGTTCAGTTCAGAGTTTTATTAGACTAATAGTGAATTCCAGAGTTTTATGAGACTAATAATGATTTTGTTGGACCTATTTTGGAATCCCATCAACTAAAACATAATCTGATTATTTTTTTTGTAGTTGATGCAGTTCCAACAAATATTATTGATGATTGAAGTTGACAATTTTATTACTTGGTGCTGCAATTTCTTTTTCAGGTCACTGATCACCTGAAAGCTGTAGCCAAGTATATTAATGTTAGGGTGACCCCTATAGTTGGAGGTATTTTAGCAGAAAAGCAGGAAAGACTTTTAAAAGCAAGGCCTGAGATTGTGGTTGGTACTCCTGGGAGGTTATGGGAACTTATGTCATCTGGAGAAAAGCATCTGGTTGAGGTGATTGCTAATGCTAATACAAAACATTATTAAGTTTAGGCATGACTGAATTTATATTTTTGGGAATTAAATTTTGTTTAAATATTACCGAGGGGAATAGTGAAATTTAGTGAAAAACTGGAAATATTTAGCACACTTTCAATGTTTTTTAAGCTGTGACCGCAGTTACGATGTGATCCTTGATATTACAGAAAAATGTGGTTGATGTTGGCCGCTTTTGTGGTCGTGATGCGGTTGCAGAGGCTTTAAAATCCTTTATGTTGCAGCAGCAATTATGGTTGAGGACCACAACTTATAATCACACGCAGAACTAATATTTGAACAAATAAATGGGAAACAAAAAATAAAATTACTAGTGAAGCAAAAAAGAACATCTAAATTGTGAGCTCTTGGCAATTCTTGATCCTATTTTTGTAATGTGTGTTGAAAACAGAATGATCATGCCCATGCAACACATTTCATTACACTAATGATGTATTGCTCATCCCTAGCTAAATGATATATTACAATATAGGCATACTATATAGTGTCTGATAGCATGTTGTCTGTGGCTTTTATTTTCTTATTTTAGAATTTTGATACTTAACTGCTGCAGGACTAATTTACTCACAGGGTAATAGATAATTGTTTTGTTCAATGAATAGCATAAACTTCAAAAATTGTTTTCATCGGAAGTCATTTTTAATGTTAACCATCTTGTTTTGCAGTTACATTCACTGTCTTTCTTTGTGCTTGATGAGGCTGATCGAATGGTACAAAATGGTCATTTTAAGGAGTTGCAGTCAATAATTGACATGCTCCCCATGTCCAATATCTCAAGTGAAGATAATTCTCAAGATGCACAAAGTTGTATTACCGTTTCTAGTGTCCAAAGAAAGAAAAGGCAAACTCTTGTTTTCTCTGCAACTGTCGCACTATCTGCTGATTTTCGCAAGAAGCTAAAGCGCAGTTCAATTCAGAAAAAGCAACCGTCGACAAATGCTTTGGATTCTATTGAAACTCTTTCTGAGCGAGCGGGAATGAGACCCAATGCAGCAATTATTGATCTTACCAATCCATCAATATTAGCAGCCAAGATTGAGGAGTCATTTATTGAGTATGTAAAATCATATCTAAATTCTAAAACTCAAGTTCTGAGAATTATTATGTTTATAGTTTTATATTCATATTGACTGAAAGTTATTTGATTTTGGTGCTATAATTTTTTTACTCCTGTGTTGGGTGACTTGGGTCGGTTATGCTACCCTTGGCAGTCACTTGTTTTTCATTCCTCCATGCTAAAATAGAGTTGTAGTTTATGGTTAAGTATTCTTGCTAAATTTCCCCTTTTATAATTTCATCTACCCCGACTGATTACGCATAATAAAGTCATTAAGGAATGTTTACTATTACATGAATTGTGGTTTTTGCTTGACGATACAACATTAATGATTTGTTATGAGATGCAGATGCACGGAAGATGATAAAGATGCCCATTTGTATTATATTCTCACTGTCCATGGACAAGGACGGACAATAGTTTTCTGTACGTCAATTGCAGCTTTGCGCCATATTTCTTCCATATTGCGCATTCTTGGCGTCAATGTTTGGACTCTTCATGCTCAAATGCAACAGCGAGCGCGTTTAAAGGTTCGTGTCCTTTCTTTGCCCAAGTCTTAGGCTTGCTTTTTTCAAGCATTGTTTTATTTGCTGTGCTCAAAGGTATAGATTATGTGGTAATATAAATCTTCAATTCATTGTTTATCTATCATTTTCTTTCTGAGTAGTAACCAAAACTATTTCTGATCATTGGTTTATTGTTGCATCACCATTAGCTAAATATAAGTTGTACTTTTGAATTCTTGGACCTGTACCATTATGAGAATAAAATGAATTTCATAATCAATTTGTCAATTACTATGCATATCAGAAGTTGCAACTCCTTTAGTTAAATTATATGTGGAGCATCCATAAAGAGGTCATACACACAATTATCTCACCTAAAAAATTGAGAGGCAGGAAGACACCTTTAAAATATCAAGGATTCTGCTTCAATGAAATGTATCGAAGGGTTGCAAAATATACTCAACGCCCAGAACATTGGCCTCCTTAGTGTTGAGGCCTTTAAACTAACTACTGGAAACCCTTTCGATTTAGAACACACCAAACTCCAAACAAATTGTCGCACAAGAAATTTGTTGCCTTGCACAGTATCTAGTAGATCCGGTTGCCCATAAAAGAAAAGTCTAGTAGATTGTTTTTTGAATGGCGAAAAGTCTAGTAGTTTCGGAAGTAGAACAGTACATTATACACAGATGAAGAGAAAGAACAATGTGACAGGCCCACAACTGCCCTTAGAGCTTTGTATTTCTATATTGATGCATAGGAAGAAGGAAAGAACGCAAACTAGGAGAAGCCAAATTCCAAACTCTTCTTTAGAGGACTCGTGATCAATAAATGTGCTCCTATACCAATTATTTCCTAATACTTCTTGCCTAAACTAAATTGTATCATGATAAATGCTGATAAGATCGAGTTACTAAATTTTTAATTGTATCATATGATCCGTCCATGACCATCAGGTAGGTTGTGAAGTTGTGAACATCGCATTTTTTGCCCCCCCATCATTTTATTGTTCTTTCCTGCCTTGTTTAATGCAGGCCATGGACCGCTTTCGTGAAAAGGAAAATGGCATACTTGTTGCGACAGATGTTGCTGCAAGAGGTCTTGATATTCCCGGTGTTAAAACTGTTGTCCATTATCAGCTTCCACATTCAGCAGAGGTAAGTCAGCTCCTTACTTCTTTCATCCATATATTCATTATTCATATATATACATACACATAAGTATGTACATTTATATTTATTTATTATATTACATATAAAACTTATTTCTTAATTTTAGGTCTATGTTCATAGAAGTGGAAGAACAGCTAGAGCTTCTGCTGAAGGTTGTAGCATTGCTTTAATCTCCCCAAAAGATACATCAAAGTTTGCTTCATTGTGCAAGTCATTTTCAAAGGTGTTTTTCTGTGATGGCTCATTTTAGATGTTATCATTTATAATAGAAATATTGAAGTTGTACTTTGCTATTATTTTAATTTTATCTTATTCCTACCGGTTAGTAAGAATTTGTTAAGCGATATTTTTCAAAAGTCCCACTTGTTGCTTCATCTAGACCAATATTGTCGATTTACATTTCTGTTTTTGCATTCTTCGTGTATACAGGATACCTTTCAGCGGTTCCCTTTGGAGAACTCATACATGCCAGAAATTCTAAAACGATTGTCTCTTGCTCGTCAAATAGACAAGATAACAAGGAAAGATTCCCAGGTAAACAGATTCACCTGTCATACTGATATGCTTTTGGACTTTATTCATGCAAATGTGAAAGTGAGCTTGGTTGTTGTCATTATACATGATTTGAAACGGTTTCCTGTTTTTCACTTGTCAGGTTAAACAGTTTTGTTTGTGATGCGTTGCTCTATTGCATCTTTACAATAGTTTCTCTATTCTACTTCCTCATCTAGTTTTTAAAATTTTAAGATTTTAGGATATATCCATTGCAGTTTCTTAATTATCTTATTCTTGTTTATATTCTTCTTATATACCGTGCCTTCAATTTTCCTTATTTTAGGAGAAGGCAGAAAAAAGCTGGTTTGATCGGAATGCTAGCTCTGTGGATTTAGTTACCGAAAATTATGACAGTGAGGAGGAACAAGTTAATAAACACAGGCAAAAAAAAGCCAGCTCTAAAAAATTGAAGAATTTGCAGACGGTTTGTGCTTTTAAAAAAAATAGAAAAACTTGAAATGACACCTGACTATTGTTTTTTACTTTTCTTCCCTCGTTCCAATTTCTTTATATCTCGTACTTTGCATATTGCAGGAGCTCAGTATGCTGATTTCACGTCCTCTGCAATCAAAAACATTTTCACATCGATATTTAGCAGGGGTATTTTCCTTATTATGATTTTCTTTCACTCTGACACTTGCTGATTTCACCATGTCTTGCTTTATTGACCAACAAGAGTAGTCATTATTTCCCTAGTAGAATTCTGCTTTTTCAAGTTGTTCTTTAGAAGTTACATAGTGATTTGGAGCATGCTTTTCTTTTGTTTTAGCTTTTTCCTCTCAACTTTTGTAAGAACAAACTCTGATGCTATCCTTTCTTTACAGGCTGGTGTAACGCCCCTCATGCAGGAACAATTGCAACAGTTAGCAAGGCAAAAATTAAGTGATCGCCAGGGCGCAGTATTTGGCAAAAAGGGAAAATTGGTTGTGATTGGTCAAGATTGTGTGGACACACTTCACGCACTTCGGAGTGCTGGTGAAGAGGTATGATATTAACACTTCTCATTGTATTATGGAAATTGTTATTTTGTGATATTTCATGGTTGAAGAGTTTAAGAGATATTTCCCTGGTGACAAGTAAATCAAGGACAATATTTCTTTTTGTCTAGTTCTGTTAAATCCCAATGTTCGAAATTCAAGTTGAAATATGCCGTGGCACTGTTCTTCTCACAGGTGCGCATGGATATCAAGGATTCAACGGGAAGACAAAGAAACACAGTGAGTTCTAAGAGAAAAAGAAAAGAGGAAAAGACACGTAAGTTTGATGTCTTAATATATCTTGTTTTGTTTTTAAGAGTAACACTTGTGCTTCTGGTTGGTAATTACTGATGTTTTTTCAGGTTTGCGTGATCAGCGTAAAAAGAAGAAAAGAGATCTAAACCAGGACGATGAATAGATTTTTATGCTTATAACTTATACATTAGCTGAAATTTTGCCACAAAATTGTCACAAGTAGTTGTATTTTTAAATGGCAGCGTCTGTTGTTTCTCTTGCCTAGTTTTAGAACATGGAATTGTTAATGAGTGTTAGTTTCAATTTCTTACTTTTGTTAATTATCACCTGTGTGTGTTTGATATTGCGGACGATACATATCTGAATCATACAAATTATTGTTTCTCACGTTAAGTCTTATTGTGATTCGAAAATGCTAAAATTGACTCGTCAAGTCTCGGTTTGGACTTAGCTTTACTAGTTTTTCCATAAAAATAATTTGAATAAACCCTCAATTTAGTCTCTTCGTCTCTTGAACTATTAATCTCTAAATTATTTTTATATAATTCAATTTAGCCACTACGTCAGCCCTTAAATTATAATAAATATTTTTATTTGGTTCTCAAACCATACAATAGACACCACTTTAGTCTAAACAAGTATAATAAGTGTATCTATTTAATCTCTAAATTATGAAAAATATTTCACCTTAATCCTTAAAATATGATAAATACATCAATTCAATCTATTCAACAAAAATAAAAAAATAGTTAATTTTAGATTTAATTGGCAAAATCTAATATATAATAAGAAAAGGAGGGAAAAAATTCAAATACATACAATATCAAAGTCAAAGAGACGTAAAAAGTATTGAAAATGACCCAAAGCAAAAGCGAAATAACACCCAACGAAACACAACCAGATACTAAAATTGAGAATTGCACGCACACAAAATCTTCACCCGACAGCAAATTAGCTAGAGCTCAGACCGCCATGCCCCATCATCAATAGACCACACGCACACAAAATCTCCACCCGACAGCAAATTAGCTAGAGCTCAGACCGCCATGCCCCATCATCAATAGACCAAAAGAACGCCAACAACACCAAAAATCACTAAACATCTCTGACGAATTTCAGACCTATTAATCTGCTATTGGTTAAGACACAATATAGGATTATGAAGACAATCACACAAAGAGAAAGAGTTCATAGGTGAATGACTAGAGAATCAACACCAAGATAAAGAAACATACTTTTATCCACCACTTCTTTCATGTATGTTGACAAATCAGAGAAGAACTTATCATCACACACTAGCCAAATAGTCCATACTACTACATGCCAGATTACTGTGAACACTATATAAAGTTAACCTTAGGCTCCATCGAAAGGAAAAACTCAAAAAGAGTCCTAAGATCTCCATAGGAAGTGACAATTTCACCCCTAACCACCCAAAGATCATATACCAAACACTAAAGGGTAAAGTATATGTGAAAACTAGATAAAAAGCTTATTCAATTCAAACCCCACAAAAAATACAAGAGATATCATTCGGGTCGCAATGGCCTTCTGCTTGAACAAATTTTCTCTAGAAGAAAATTTATCCTGTAAAATCTTTTAGGAAAAAACTACCACCATAGAGAGAGCCAAACCATCCCAAATAAAGAAAAGAGATGGAAACTCCCTAGCTAAAGGGGTTTTAGAGGGCTAACCGTGTGCTATAAGGTCTTGGTACTCAGATGCCATAGAAAGTATACCATCTCTAGAATGCCTAAAAAAACCACATATCACTTTTCTCACTAAACTCGAACTCTCGGATAACCAAGAAAAAAGAAGAAATAATAACCAAGAAAAAACGAAGAAACCAAAGGTTCTTCACGGATGAAGAAAGATCCCCTCAACATAAGGTCCCACAAAATCCATCCTCTTCTTACCTTCCTATCTCACTCACATTCTTGGCTTGGGTTTTAAATATGATAAAAAGTATCTGAAATCTAATCTTAAGAGGAATAATCCATAACCAATGATCTTTCCAAAAGGATGTTTGAGGACTTGTCTCCACTTTCTTAGAAAACCCTTCCTAAAATCAATTAGGAGGGTTAACCTTTTTGGATTCAATGAGGGATACTCTTTTCCACCAGAAGTAAATGGAACGGAGCCCTAGAGACCTACCCCCACACAAGGAAAATACCTTGGAGGTGCCATACCCGGTAGAAAGAATATCAACCCATAGACCTGAAGTACTTGACATAAGTCTCCATCTCCATTTGGCTAACATGGCTATATTGACCAGCCGAACATCTCTAACACTTAAGTCCTCGTCTCTCTTAGACTTACAAACAACATGCCAATCAACCTAATAAATCTTGGCTTCCCCTTTCACGCTTCCCTAAAGGAACCATCTCTAAATATTGATCAGTTTTTTTTTACACTTTCACATACATCTTTAAGAAGGAAAGAAAAGAAACATAGATAACATTAAGGACAAAGTTGAGGAGAATAACTCTACCCTCTATACTTACATACCCGTGACTCCAAGAGTGAAATATCTTCCATATCAGATTGAGTAGGGGGTTCCTAGTTAGATTCCAACTAATGATTGGCTCATCCCTAGAACCCAAGATACATAAAAGGAAGATACTTAGTCTTGCAATGGATAAAATCATCAACTAACTCAAAATGGAAGCAATCCATGGACCAGATTAATGGCCCAACCGATTGGGTGCATCGAATAATCGATTATTATGAACCAATCATTAAGATACTTTCATAATAGATTATGAACTTGATTATAAAACATCTAATAGATTAGGCATATGGTATAATCGATTAGACAATTCAAAAAGTTGACTAATAAAGCAGTCAATCCTCTAATCAACTGGTTAGGCATTGAAAATATTTTTAGGTGATTTTGTTAAGTAAAGAGATGCCTTAAAAGTATTTTAATGTGTATGTGTATGTGTGTGTGTGTGTGTGTCTATGTGAGTTGCCTTAAAATAATATGAGTTACTTTCCTATGGTCACTCAGACAGACATGACCACGTAAGCTTTCACACTTCCTCTCTTTCACAACTTTGAAGCTTCTAAGTTCATTTTCTAAATACTGATCATATAAGCATTTCACTAGAACTATGACTCTTATATTTTAAAATGTTTGAGATATATTCAAGTTAATCACCATCATTAGAGATTTTGAAAGATATCACCACCAACTTTAATATTTATCAGTGTTATCGTCATAAGAACTTTAAGACAATTGTTAGTATCAGGATCATCACCTTCATATCTATAAACACATGGATCCATATTCTCTCCCTATTTGATGATGAAAATGCATCTCTCAAGAAGGTGGTAAAAGAAAAAAAAGGTAGATACAATTTAAAATGATTAAACTCTTCCTCACATGAGTAGAGAGTATACATTAATCTTTTGAGAGTATACTTCTCCCTTTTGGCATGATAAAAAAGGCGAGAAACACATAGATCACATATTTTCATTTAGAGAAAGATAAAAGAAGAAGGAGAAAAGGAAATTAAGAATACTAATAAGTGCGCCGGTGCCACAATGGTCTGGCTCTTTAGTAGATTGTTTTCTGGTCTTTAATGAAGTTGCAGGATCTGCTGTCAAAAAGAGGATGTTTTGATTTTTAGGTTAGGTTACTTTCTTGGTTATTTGATATTGAAGGAATGGCATTGTTTTCAAGGGAGGCTTGTTAATCAAGACATATATGTTGGGTACGATCAAGTTTATCTTGTGGGAGTGGTTCTTGGCCTCTAATCGTTGCGGGATTTCTTGCTCGTGCGATGTTTGGCGTGTCAGCCCAACTTCTTTTTTCGTGTAATGTGTTTTTCTTGTTCTGTTGTTCTTTTGTTGGTGTTTGTCTTTTGGTTGGTTGCTGACTTTGTAAGGGTTGGGTACCCCTTGTGCTCCCTTTATTAATCCATTTTGCTTATTATTTTTTTTAAAGATTCCTATTTCATTTCTTACGAAAAAAAGCTTTCTTTAGGAAGTGGTTTTGTAAAAATGTCTGTGAGTTGATTAGATGAGGTCACAAACTTAAGTAAACATTCCCCTTTTTCAAATTGGTCTCTGATAAAGTGGTCTCCAACCTTAATGTGCTTAGCATGAGAGTAAAGTTTCGGGTTTTCAGTGAGGTTTACAGAACTAGTGTTGTTGCATCTTACCAGGTCAACTCCAAGATCAACACCATAATCACCGAGTTGTTGTTTCATCCAAATAATTTGAGATCAATAGATACTCGTAACAATGTATGCTACCTCAACTGTGGATAACACGAAACTTGCTTGTTTCTTGTTGTGCCAAGTGACAAGCGAGCTCCCAAGTAAGAGCCCGGTACGATTGATATTTTTACTATCTAATATGCACCCAAAAAAATCAAAATAGGTGTACCCAAATAAGTCACAATCCGTTTCCTTAGGGTGTCATAAAATCATTTTTTGTGTGCTAGTGAGATATCTTAAGTTGTGTTTGACCGCATTAATATGTGATTCTTTTGGGGATGCTTAAAAGAGAGCATAAGGACATATAAAAAAATATGATATCAAGACAAGATGCCATGAGATAAAGTAGAGAGTCTATCATACCTCGATATTTGCTTTCATCAACTGGTTTTCCATTCTCTTCTTTGTCGAGGTTACACGAGGTTGACATTGGAGTTGCTATTACTTTGGATTTTTCCATGTTAAACCTATATAGAAACTCTTTGAAATATTTTTCTTGATTGATGAAGGTTCCTTCCTTATCCTGGTGAATTTAAAGCCAAAGCCCCCGACCATTGACATTTCAAATTCATTCTGCATTATTTCAAAAAAAATCCTTGCACAATGATTTATTAGTAGCACCGATAATGATATCGTCAACATTAATTTGAACAAGTAAAACGCCACGCTCGGTTTTTTGGATAAAAAAGGGTTTTATCAACTTGTCCTCTTTGAAACCTGTTTTCAAGTAAGAATTTTCTTAGGCAACCATACCAAGCTCTAGGAGCTTGTTTCAGATCGTATAACACTTTCTTAAGTTTGAAAACATGATTGGGAAAGGTCGGGTTGATAAAACCTGGAGGATGATCAATGAATACCTCTTATTGAATGTAACCATTTAATAAAGCATTTTTCACATCCATTTTAAATAGTTTAAAATTCATGACACAAGAAAACTTGA